AATAATTTCTGAGCGTAAGTTTTCCTTTTATTCATCTTAGATTCTTTAGTTCATAAATATAAATAGCTAAATATCTACCATTTGATTTAGCTATTAGTTGCACTGCAGAAACTGAAAGCTATAATAAAAATCTTATGCACCTGGAGAGCAGAAGACCCTTGATATTTATAATCTGATCAGCCCCTGATTTTATACACCATCTCCCATCAATATTACTCACTTCCTTAACCAAACATTACAAAAATATTAGCTGGCGAAAAAAAAAGAACTCACGACGACAAAAGGCTTCCAATTTTCGTAAGGGAAAATCTTACCAAAAAAGATTCTTCATTCTTTTTGTTCCTTATGAGGCTGTCCATTAATTGATATAACTACACACAGAGAGTCCAGAGAAGAAAAAGAGTGAATAAACTTGGTGGAAGATGATGATATGAAATAAATATGTATTAGTAAAACCAAAATTTCAGCAATTACATCTGTTCCTAAATAAAGATATTAACTTATGGAGATCCATGCACAAAGAATCTAGATACTTGGCACATTTTTAGAAACTGGAATGCATGAAGAACTATAGTAAGGGATTATAATAGAGGTTAGATTCATTTTATACGTAATAAAAAGGAGTGTAAAGGACAGCTGAGGACACGAGATGTGATGCAGCCTTCATTTCAGATATTGATGATATCTATGCATGGTGATAAATAAAAAGAGAGAAACAGGCCAGTAGAACAGACCATAATTAAAAATACATGATGAAAATGAATTAGCTGACCTTTCTTTCAAGAATCCGAACTTGATCACGAGATCGTTTTAGGGCCGGACTCTGCAAATAGTAACAATGAATACATAGGCAAGCTTAATTTTCACTTAAAGATAGCCGTATGCATGGAAATTCAACAGAGTAAAAGGAAAAGATGTCACTGTGCAGTGTGCTAAGACACATACATGAAGAGATTCTCTATAGAATATCTACAAGTAGTTGCAAGAAGTAAAAAACAATTTCACATTAGAAAAAAAAAAGTTACAATCAAAGACTGGTATGCCTCAAAAATATGGAAAAAGAACGGAAGAGAAAGAGAGAGAGAAGAACAAACCGCGGAGTCTTTAACAGAACCATCATCGTCTATAACTTGCTGTATTGACTTAATTAGTGATCGATTTACTACTTGTTGCATAATCTGCAAGTAAAATCAGAAATGAGGGTTCGGAGACACGGGGTAGTTAACCTAAATTTGAGGAGGTGCAAATACCATTTTAGTTACAGGCATGAAACGTGTATACCAATCTGCATCTTGCTTGATGGCACCTTTCAGACTAAGCTGCAGATCATCCACAAATAGTAGCAGAGAAGCAACAGCGATTCCCTCCTTTGCCTCAAGCGGTAACGCCCTTCGAGCATGTTGAATAGCAGATTTGACCTTCACGGACAACATGACAAACAGTTGGAAGGCGAGATAATTATGAATGAAGAAGAAGATACAAAGCCTTGGAGAAATGAAAAAATTGAAAAAGAAAAAGTGAGGACGAAAGAAGAAGGGAGAAGGAGGTAACCAGCGAAAGATGGAGAGAAGTTAAGTCAAGTGCGAAACCGCCATGCTTGTGCATCTCGATACAAGCATTTGTTTCTTGTAAAAGTTTCAAACTATCCTCGAATGTCTGGTCAAGAGACCATAATTGAGCCTGTAAGAAATTGTGAAAAAGTCAGAGGAGACAAGCAACAAGCCGCAATATACCGACGAAGAAGAGGAATGAAAACCTTGGTGGCGTCACGGCCGAGAGGAGAGCGAGCAAAGGAGGCGACGGAATCGCAAAGCTTGTCCCATTCCAGTACCTTGAGACTTTCATGGTGAACTATTGACTTGGTGCATAGGACTTGGATTTCCCTCTTCGTCTTCCTCGTAATTACAGAAGTCAGCGGGAAAAATTCTCCGGCAGCAGATACGTGTTTGGATATGGAGCTGCCTAGTAGCATTGTATATGTGACTGTGAAGGTGAGGAAGGTTGGTCTGTTACAAATGGCGGGGTCAAGGGCTGTGCTCAACCAACTCAATTGTGATATTCAAGTAGGAGGAAGAAGAAGAAGAAGAAGACGGCAATGTGGCAAATACAGAATTTATCCATAAGATTTGGGGCCTAACAGAAGCCCAATAAGTTCTGTTCGGCCCAAAAGAGGGTGTTGGGCCTTAGGCCCATAATTGACCTACGCATATGTATTTCTATTATAAATATTGATTTACGGTAATTAATATAGTATTAGTGGGATAACAATGATTAATTAAATTGAGATTAAACTAAGTAGGGTAAATGCCAGAACTGGTGTGTTTATAGGTACAGAAGCTTTCTACTCATAACAAACAAACTTCAGGCATCATTTTAAATTTGCAAAACTGAATCAAATTTACGTCATGGAATCAAATCATTATCACATACATGCACGTAATTTATGTACATACTACCATAACCTATCATCATACGTGTCTTAAATTTAAAGCTAATTTTTCATAAATTATTTTTGGGCTTTTAAATAAATAATAAGGTAAATTATAATTTCAAATTTCGTAAATAATGTAGTTTTTGTTTACGAGTAAATGGTTTGAATTTTAAAATTTTATATATTTGTATTTAATATATATATATATATATATATATACACCAAATAGGTGAAAATATTTTATAGAATAACCAAATTATTATTATTTTTTTTTTGTAGGCGCAACGTGGGTCATTAAAAATACCTGAGAAGCCGGCCGGAGGCCGGCCGGTTGACTCGTTGGCCGGTTTGGTTAACAGAATATTTTTTTGGATAAAATAAACTTTTCGGAAAACCTATGAATCTCTAATGAATTAGCATTTAATCAAAACCCATAAACACCCTTACTCCCTTCAATTAATTACTAAAAATGCCATTAGGAATCTGATTTGGTCACACTAATATTGAGTTTAATTTAAATTCAGATTCTACATTTAGTTTAGTCAAATATTTTTATAATTAGGGAGTATAAAAATTATGAATATATTAATTTGAGTCCCAGAGGCAGTGTATATATTCTATATATAGATATTACCATAATATGTGTATACATGATCACTGAGGTTTGTTTCCCGAGTTCCTGGTACTCAAAAATTTATCCCTTTCTGGTACTTCGGAATCAAACAACAGTAAATCTTGTCCGGATCCAGATCGGCAGTTCCAATTTTCCGACCACTGCCATGGAAAACGCCGACGAAGAAACGGCGACCGTGTCTAGAGTACCCACTAAATCGGCCTTCCGGTTCAACTCGCCGCTGATCCAAGTGAGCTTGATGGGTCTGGTTTGTTTCTGCTGTCCCGGCATGTTCAACGCCCTTTCCGGGATGGGCGGAGGCGGGCAGGTCGATCCCACCGCCGCCAACAATGCCAACACCGCCCTTTACACCACCTTCGCTCTCTTCGGCATCCTCGGCGGCGGGATCTATAACCTCCTCGGTCCCCGGCTCACCCTCGCCGCCGGTTGTTCCACGTACGTTCTCTATGCCGGCTCGTTTCTTTACTATAACCATTACCACCACCAGGCTTTTGCCATTGTCGCCGGAGCGCTGCTCGGCGTCGGAGCAGGCCTTCTCTGGGCCGGTGAGGGTGCTATTATGACGTCATACCCTCCGCCTAACCGGAAAGGGACGTATATTTCGCTCTTCTGGAGTATCTTCAACATGGGCGGAGTCATCGGCGGTCTCATTCCGTTCGTCCTGAACTATCACCGGACTCACGCCGTTTCCGTCAACGACGCCACGTACGTAACTTTCATGTGCTTCATGGCCGCCGGAACCCTACTTTCCCTCGCTATTCTCCCGCCGTCAGATGTCGTCCGTGATGACGGAACCCGCTGCAGCAACATGAAGTACTCCAAGGTTTCCATCGAGATCGTGGAGATTCTCAAGCTTTTCCTCAACTGGAAAATGCTTCTCATCGTCGCCGCCGCCTGGGCTAGCAACTTCTTCTACAGCTACCAGTTTAACAACGTCAACGGTCTTCTTTTCAATCTGCGAACGAGAGGCTTCAACAACGTTTTTTACTGGGGAGCACAGATGGTGGGATCCTTCGCCATCGGGTACGTCCTCGACTTCAGCTTCCGGAGCAGGAGGAGAAGAGGCTTCGTCGGGATTTGCCTTGTTGCTCTGCTGGGGACTGGAATTTGGGCCGGTGGCCTCGTCAATCAGCTCACTTACTCGTTCAATGATCTCCCGGAGAATAGACTGGATTTCAAGGACTCCGGTAGTGATTTCGCTGGACCGTTCCTTTTGTATTTCAGCTATGGTTTGCTAGATGCCATGTTTCAGACCATGGTTTACTGGGTAATCGGAGCGTTGGCCGACGATTCTGAGATTCTCAGTAGGTATAGCGGATTTTATAAAGGAGTGCAGAGTGCAGGGGCTGCAGTTGCTTGGCAAATTGATACGAAGAAGGTTCCATTGCTGAACCAGTTGATTGTTAACTGGGCGCTGACGACTGTAAGTTATCCATTGTTATTGCTTCTGGTTTTCTTGGCCGTCAAGGACGATGAGAAGAGTGTTGAAGAGGGAGATATGAAGGAGTCTGAGTTTGTCTCTGTAAATAGCACCATAGCCAAGTCCTATTAGTGCTTCGTCCTCCGTAAATTCTCCCCTTTTCTTCTTTCTTCTAAGTAAAGAAAAAAAAAAAACGATTCCACTAATTTTTTTCTGGTGTTCTTGAATTCTACACAGTGCCATATGTACACTGCACGCTGCTCTGTTTTGGCTAGTGCCTGAAAAGAAAATCATCCACGCATATAATTGTTTGCTTAATACTAAACTGGGTTTTATTCTTTTTTATGGAGCTCTTGAACAATGGTTTTCCTTTGCTTGAATGAAAGATTTGCAGAATTTTGTTCTTACATTGCAACTGGGTCTTTGGTCTTGAATCTAAATTCAGAATCTTTCTTAAATGCCATTTCACTATCAAGGGTTTGTCAGAATTTGCAATTTAGACTTTAGTTTCTATTCTCATTCAGTTTTTGATGATACATGATATATTTTAATTCTATAATCATAAAAAAAAAAAACAATTAATTTTAACAATTAAAAGGTTATTTTAAGTAAATTTTTTATTATAGTCCTACTGTATTTTTACATTTTTATTTGAAGAAATTAAAATTTAAACTAAATTTCGGGTGTTATTTCTTGTAATAATTCAATACTATTATATAGATTAATATTTTTTAAAAAAAATTGAAACTTTCACTTAAAAGAAGAAAAAGGAAAGATTTTGAACATGAATAAATGAAATATCAAGAACTGGGTTTCAACCACGAAGCTTAACAAATTAAAAGAATATTAAGAATAAGGTATTAATTTATTGCCACCAGACATAAAGACATGATTATATAAAATGTAGTTGCAGATCTTGCCATGGAAGTTACAGTAAAGCAAAGACATAAAGCAGACAAATTTACGATGCCTGGTAATGAATGAATTTTTCAAGATGGTAAATTAAATTTCCATTTTCGATCAGATTGTAACAAGAGGTGCATCGCTTTTGTCTTTGTCTGAGCTGGGATTAGCTTCAGTTTTCTCCTCCTCCTTTGCCGGCTCAGGGGTTTTCTCCACATCTCCTTCCTCAGCTTTCTTGGCAGGGGATTCAACGCTTCCTGTCTGTGTCTCCGCGGTCTTGGAGGGTACTGAGTCAGAGGACGCGTCAACCGACTCACCCTCTTTCTTGGGCTCGGACAAGTCTACCAACGGTGCTTCGTTTTGCTTCTCCCCTTCATTGGTTTCTTCCTGTATATATCAAAAACGTGACAGAGTTAAAACTTATTAAAAATTCTTAAGACGATAAAAAAGAAAGATTGACGTTTGCCTTTGGTGGCGTCTGAGTCACAGCCTCAGGTTCGGGCTTCTTGGGTGAGTCGGGGACTTCCCTGGAGACGGAATTTTCAAGGATGTCAGAATCTTTAGGTTTGCTCGCGCAGCCTCCCATTATTATTTGTCAAGAATGGAGAACGGGCGAGCTGCGGAGGATCGTGGTGGCGGGTCGGTTTGTAACTTCTATACAAGATCCTCTGTCAGAATGTGAGTTTTATTCACTTATATATATGTATATATATAGAAGTCTGAGGCTGAGGATTTGGAAGGTGGAGGAGTAAAATGGGTAATATAAGGTAGTGAAGGTTCTGAGATTAAGGAGATTTTAATGGTGTTCCAAGTAACATGTAATAATTTCTGGCATCTCAGATTCTGCGGACATTTTTCCTGTGACCTATTCATAGGACAGCAAGGTTTTATTGGCATTTCTCCTTTTTTCTTGGGTTTTCTTCTTTCCTTGAATTAATGTAATTGTATATACGTATACATATATATATATATATATACACACACACATAATATATTTGCATCTGGGTTTCCTGAAATATGAACAAATTTGATTATTTTTAATATGGTAATACGTTAAATTATAATATTAAGTAAAGAAGATTGAAACTAATTTTAATTTTTATTTAATTAAATTACTATTATAAACAAATAAATGATTGACACAAAAAATAATTAGAGTAAATATATTGGATTTTTACTTATACCCTAAGATTTTCTTATTTGGTAAATAACTTTTTTCTGGTATCCAGTCTGATGGATTTCTAAATCCGAGAAGAGGCTACGGTTAAGAAGACTTGAAGAAAGATTTTGGGTGTTTGGAGGGTTTAAGAAAACTGCAAACCCTTCAGAAAAGAAGGCAAGTTCTTCCGGACAGAATACGGGGTGATCATCCCTGTAATCCATCTCCTAAAATGGAGGTTGTCCCGGGCTTCTGGAAATCCAAATCAGAGATTTAGGGTTTGTAAGTTTGATATTTTGGAAAGTTAAAAAACACCGAGTATTAGGGTTTCTAATCTCTAAATTGTAAATACGAAAATGGCAAGTCTATGTTATGGCTAATTTGCTAAGTAGCGCGTTTAATTATTTTATTAGAGCATCTTGTCTCCAAATCTTCCGCCATTCTGAACTGGAGATTCGAACCTAATTCCGAAATTCAAATCCGAACAAACTCCTCGAAACTTTCCCTTGCTTTCCCCCTCATTAAAGAAACCCATTGATGAAGACGACGATGATGTTCGGTAAATTGCAGTTATCGATGGTGATGACATTATTGACGATATTTTGCTGGTGGGTGACTGTTCAGTCATCGGAGTTAGGATACGATGCATGTGGGGATTCAGTCCGGCCGGCGACTTGCCCGGTGAAGTGTTTCCGGACGGACCCGGTTTGCGGAGAGGACGGAGTGACGTACTGGTGCGGGTGCGGAGAAGCTCGGTGTTCGGGAGTGAGCGTGGCTAAGTTGGGGTTCTGCGAGGTGCGGAACCAGGCTGGAAGTGAGGCTTTGCTGTTGGTGTACCTTGTTTGGCTCGTCGTGCTTGCCTTCGGCTTCTTGTTCTCCCTCATCTGACCTACATTTTTATGTTGTCCGCCATTGTTCTGTTTATTTGGATAACAATAAGGCTGGGGAATGTAGGTAGTTTGATTATGATACTAACACACTGTTATTACACAACTAAAAAAGTTTATACAATCTTCCATTGAAATTATAATAATTTATTAAAACGAAATCTAAATTAATTACTGCCTTACACCAACACATTAATGAACTAAATTATTATTCATTCTGAATTAAATAAATATAGTTTATAATCAATTAAACATTATAAACATCCTGAATTAAGAGACAAACAAACAAAGACTCTGAAATTCAACCGCAGAATCTGACAAACAAATTAAGAGAGGATGGCTAAATGACTGAACATCTCGCATTTGAAATTGAGCCTCATCCTATCCCGGAGACTTCTACCATGTTCGATGAAAAAGTATCTTCTTACAATTGAGAAGTAAAAAGTTTGAAGACATTTCAGCAAATCTTAATTTCGCTGAAGGATTTTTTGACTTACTGTTTATCTCTATTGTGGCACTGTTGCCAAAAAAGACATCCTATCTCGACCCGAGCGACAGCAGCTCTATTAGCAAACCCGAAAAAGAATGAAAACAGAAACTCCTTTTTTCTTTATAAAAAAATCATTCTACCAACGACAGTGGTACATTTCTTTTGAAGAACATTAGAGAAAAATGCAGTGGCTACCTACTGACAGAAAAGCTAGTAACACAGTGCTTTGATCCAAAATCCGCAGTATAAAAACCTACTCTTTCTTCTCCGGACTCTGAAGCGAAAATGCAGGCTCAACATGATGACCCTTATTAACTATTCCCGCGGTTGTAAAGCTTTCTTTCCTGGTTTCTCCAGAAGATGCATTGCCCTGTACATCCTCGGATAATGCAGCGGGTGAAATTTCCCGATGATCAGTAGAAGAAACATTGTTTACCAAGGATTTATACATAGTAAGGGCTTGGGCAATCATATTGGCAGGATTGGCAGCAGCACTCGGAAGCAGCATTGTAGTACCCTAAATGGAAGAACAGGAGCAAAATATAAATCGAAAAATCCACAATATATTTTCTAGAGTAGATTGCACATAACAGCAATTTTCGCTCACCTCCTTGGCAATGTTACTAAATGCCTGGATGTATTGTTCCGCTATTCTCAAACTTGCTGCCTGCAAATCAGAGGAAGGTCAAAGTTAAGTATAGTCTCTCAATTTCTGTGTATATGCAACCAACTTGAGCATTTTATAAGAAATTTTGCACTATATGCACTCTGAAATGCATGACATAATCTAACCCATCCAGAGAACCCAAAAGAAAAAGAAAACTTTGGCCCCCTTTGGTAACAGTTATATAACATGAATTAGCTTCAACGTTTTAAAGAACTCATTACAATACTGCAAAATTTTCACTTTAGTTGAACATAAACAATCAATAGAACTAGATAAACTGATTAGAATATTTTTCAGTTGCATGCATATTTTCATCGAAATGGATGCATTGCAAAAACTGATCTGGCACAGATAGGAGTTTATTAACATCCTGTTCATTTAAAAAACAAAAAGAGCTTATCAAAGTCTGGGCAACTAAAATAGTCTTCCATTATTTGGCTAAATGGAGGATGGTTTGAGATCCTACAATACATATGAAGGGCTGAAAACTCTTTTATACAAACAGAAACATGTATTAAAAAAAAAAAAAAAAAAAATTATCCGTAAGGACTCCAAAAAATTGTATTGCAAACCGTCGCTCAGTAAGGGAAAAATTAACGATATGGACACGACAAGACGTTTACAGACACACTGAAGAAGCCTACCTCTACTCCTCCACTTTCTTTAATGGCATGCGAAACCAAGGCAAGTCCTTTCGCCGTTGCTTGTGCCTTCGCGAGTATTGCTTCTGCTTCACCTGAGAATATGCAAGTTGACAATGAAAAAGTTATTGCATGCAAATAAGCATCCCATTCAACTTAGATTAATTAGCAATCAAGAATATGAAAATTACTGCTTACCAGCCACCTAGAAACCATTTGAGAAAGGAAGTTATAAAATAAAATAATCTAGTACGATTACATTGCTCAATTGTGTTTTCACTCTCTAATAGTAAGGTTGCAATATATATTCTAAAAAGAAGCATAATCCATGTAGGGAACCCAGCAGGTTCAGTCTTCACTGCCCTTTTTCAAATGATCACTAACCTTGTGCTCGATTAACCTGATCCATTTTTGCTGCTTCAGATGCTAAGATGACAGCACTTTTCTTACCATCAGCAATATTAATATTAGCCTGTCTTTCTCCTGCAATACAGTGGAGGAAAAGAATTATATTTTGGTAACAAATAAAGCAGCCATGTTTAATGACTAAAAAGCAGATCAATTAACAAAAAACAAGCTTAGGACGATGAGATAAGGGAATCAATTATCATCAAAACTATAGAATATACGTGAGCATATTTGGGAAAAGATAAAAAGCTTAGGAAGGAAAATGACATGTCAAACATAAGTCATTACCTTCAGATTCAAGAACCTGTGCCCTCTTTTTACGTTCTGCTTCTGCTTGCATCTCCATAGCTGCTCTCACGCCACGAGGTGGAGATATATCCCCTGGTGACACATTTATCATAAAAAAAATAACAATTATATAAAATATGTATTACGGACAGTCAAGGAAATTACTCGTGAGAACATTAGGTTGGAAAAGAAATAACTAACTTATTTCATAACGCAGGCATTGGAGACCCCAGTCCTTTGCAGCTATATTGATGGCCTCCTGCAACAGTGATAACATTTCAGAAAAACATTGTTGGTTCCTTTGAACTTTTTATTCTTACTAAATAATTAGCAATTTGATGAATTGGGAAGAAGAAATAGTCATGAGGATGAAACTTCACCTCATTCTAATTTTACTGTTGTCACTGCATTTGAAATTAATACTTCACAAAAGACAGCCAAAAACAAACACACACCATATTTGGAAGAAAAAAATCCACAAAATATGAAATCCATTCACACAAACTTGCATGTTTATGTTTAGAATTAGTCCATCTATGTAACGGACCAAGTATTTTCCAAATTCGCATTATAAGAATTTGGGAATGAACTTGAGGGATAGCAAAGGAGAAGTTCTAAACATCTTTTGTATTATGTTTGTGTTTATTCAAATACTATGGTCCTATTGAATCCCAAATATTTTAGCTTTAATTATTTATTAAAAAAGAAACATTTATTTGTAAATGAATTCCTTGATCAATTTATTAACATGTAACAAAATCTCATTGCATATTTGTTTCAAACAAAGCCTAAAGGTAAATTGCAGATAAACCATCTGAATTAAACCTTATGGTAGCTATGATGCTTAATTCCTTTCACATTCAAAAGAGTTGTTTCTCAGCAGCATTAAAGCAAAATGGCTACATATGATACATAATCCGGAGGTAAAATACAATGCCTCAAAATCACAGATGTGAAAAGAATAAATCCCAGTCTTGCAGATTCAAGCACACAGAAGTTCTAGCAGACATGAAGCAAGAAAGGAATAAGCTGACAGCAGAAAACTAACCACTATCTTCTCATTTAGCGTGTCTCTTTCTTCAAAGGTCTTGTCCAGGGTTATCTTACCAAGCTCACTACGCATGGTAGTTTGGGCAAGCTGAATGACGGCATAGATAGGGTTCTCAACACCATAAGAAGCCAATTTAGGGTCCACGATCTGCAAGAGTAACAAGCAACTAAGACTCATAGTAGCAGCAGGTTGTACTAAATCGCTTGCTGATTGCTATGTTTTTTTCTTTAAGGAACACATGAACAGAAGAATTATACGAGTTACCATGCCCTCTATGCCCTTGAGGCATCAGTGCATTAAGTTGTCAATATTTCATAATAGTTTTCTATCATCATGCAATAATCAGTTGACTGCGCAGTAATTAGCTAAATCAGTTGTCATGATAGTTAAACAATGCTTACATATCAGTTGCAGTAATTAGCAACTACGTATGAGGAGAGAAGGAAGAAAATAGGGAGTTGTAGGAAGAAAAGGACCTTGACATATAGGACGCCATCGATGAGGATGCTGACATTATCCTTGGTGATTGCAGACTGGTCAGGGATGGGAATAGCCTCCTCCTTGAGCGAATGAACGTAAGCTATCCGATCCACAAAGGGAATCAGGAAATGAATTCCAGACGGCAAAGTCTTCACGTATTTACCGAATCGCTCAATCACGTACGCCTTCTTCTCCGGCACAATGCGGATACCCCAGTTCATCGGCGGCGTTATCTCATAGCTAAATTAAATTCAATTATACAAAATATTCACTCCTCCATTAAATTTTTCGAAAACCTAAACCAAACACCAAATCCACTTTCGAATTCATTATATGAATAATTGAATATCATACAAGTAGATACTTAACATACCCGGTGCTGGGTTCCCGACCGGTGCGGAGATGGCGAACAGAAATGGCGAATAGTGGAGAAGAAAGAGCAGGAGGAAGATTGGAACTAGAAGAATGGCGGCTGCTGCTGAGAATAGACGAAGAAATGTTAGTGGTGCTTTGGAGAGACTTGGATGAAAATGATGCAGATGATTGCCAGAGGAATCTCGCGGATCTCGCGGCATCGCTTATGGAATTCGCTCGCCATATATTCTTCATATTTGTCTGGAATTTCTGCAAATTAGCCTATTACTTTGATTCTTCTTCTCCTTCTTCTCTTATACTCCAAGGTTTTATCAGTTGTTTATTTTAGTTTTCTGGAGAAATCATTAGGGAACAGGTAAAGCCCTAGTAAAACCTCAGCTCTCAAAATCCATGGCTTCTCAGTTTTCCCTCTCTTCTCTTGTCTTGTGCCATTTGCCTGTCTGCTGTAATGCACACCTACCTGCATCAATTCGTCTGGGCCGACAACAACCCGGCCCAATTCATTATTTTAGAAATATCCATTTCTCGCAGGTAAAAATAATAAAATAAAATCTTCAATAAAATCAAAAAAAGTAAAAATATATTTTTAAAAAACTCACAACGAATTTAAAGTTGCTCTGAATAAATTGAATTTTTATGTAATTAAAGTAATTTTTAATGGATGTTTTTAATTTATTTTATTTAAATATAAATTTAGAAATAAATTTTATAAAAATATAAAAAATAAATATGTGTTATATATTTTATTATGATTTACAATAAATGTCATTATCAAATTTTTGAACAAAAAAAAAAACCAAATTAAATTATTATTTTTTTTTTAATCTATAAATTATTGACATGGGATTTTCATCATTTGAAAAGGTAAGATTATAATAATTGTTTCAATTTAAATTTTACTTCTTAATTTAGGGTACGCATTATAGGTATATATATATGGCTAAGATATAAGACAAATAACTCAAAAAAAAAATATATATATATATATAGCTAAGGTTTAAGTAGTTGTTAATAAAATATCTTGGGCCTTAAAGGATTTCTTAAAGCCCACATAAGAGTAAAGCCCAAGACCCATTTCTTTATAGTCTGGTGGCTCCAAGCCCATCTTCGTTTAGAACTTGCCCAATGATTTTTAGAGTCTTGGCAGATTGAGCAAATGGGTCTCAGAACACACATGACAGGAACACATATACATACATACATACATATATATATATGAAAGAAACTTGGCAACTAATATGCACCAAGCGACTCTCTCCATCCCACCAAAAATTATTTTCACTCAGCATCATGCAGATGTTGAATTTGTTCTTATCCCATTTCAGATTAGCGACACAAGATCGCCAATGCCCCTGTTTCTTGATTGTTCTAACTCTGCATGTGAGAATCATTGGTTGCTTTTTCTTTAATTACTTTATTCGCACGAGGACAAATCACAGTTTGTCATCATGAAGATGAAGATGATAAGGCTAAGGTTCTGGTTTGATCACGTAAACGTCGTGAAGGCGTGAAAAAATTCAGCAATGGCGAATGGAATAATTTCTTCCTCTTCTTCTTCTTCTTCTTCGATTTGGTACTGTTTAGTCTTGTCGGTAACCCTATGGTGTTTAACGTTAGTCGATTCATCACCGACCTCGCCGCCCCCGGCGACTATGGTGAACGTGACCAAGAGGCTGTTTTTCTCAAACTTCAACCTAGACGACCCTCGAGTCACCGACTCAATAAAGCTTTTAGGCAACGCCGAATTTTCCAGCGAAGAAAGTTCCATCAGAATCCCTCGTCCATCCCAGGCCATGGATCTGCGACACCAGGCGGGAAGAGCCATCTACTCGTCGCCTATTCGCTTTCTTGACCCACAAACCATGACTCCAGCGAGTTTCTACACCACATTTTCTTTTCAATTCAGCAATTCTTCTGAAACCCAGATGATGGAACGTCATGGCGGCAGCGGTCTCACCTTCATCATCGTCCCTGATGAGTTCACGGTTGGCAGAGCAGGGCCATGGCTGGCCATGCTCAACGACGCCTGTCAAGAAAACTACAAGGCCGTCGCTGTGGAGTTCGACACTCGGCAGAATCCGGAGTTCGGCGACCCGAGTGACAACCATGTTGGGATAAATCTTGGCAGTATTGTTTCCACTGCAGTTATTAACGCGTCGGAGGTTGGTGTGTCTCTAAAAGATAGTTCAGTTCACCGAGCTTGGATTTCGTACGACGGTCACCACCGGTGGATGGATATCCGACTTGGGTATGACGAAGCTGATCGTGATTATTATCCACCCAAGGCTCTCTTCGCCGGTCGTCTTGATTTATCCTCGTTTCTCAACGAGTACATGTTTGTCGGCTTCTCTGCATCAACAGGCAACATGACTCAAATCCACAGTATACTTTCATGGAACTTCACAGCTTCAAGCCAGGCTGCTCTTCGAATTCCTTCGTCAGAAACATGCGAAAGCAAGCTGGTTCGAGAAGTTGACTACGGTCACCTTAGCCAGCACAAGGCAAAGGCAAATCCAATTCCCCTCCGCAGTATCTTCATTTTCGTGGGTGTCTCTACCTTCGTGCTACTCGGTTTTATAATTTGTTTCTTGTTTAATAAACGAAGTCGTCGGGTTGGTAAATCGAAAAGCACAGAGGAAAGGAAAGTAAATAAAAAACCTCGGCCGCCGAACAAACCGCGACGGTTTTCTCTCTCAGAAATCTCCTTTGCGACTCGAGGTTTTAGCGAGTTAGTGATGTTGGGAAGCGACTCTAGAGGTGTCTTCTACAGAGGGAAACTCTCTAATGGATGTCAAGTCGCCATTAAGCGATTCTCCGAACAGTTCTTGACCTCGCATGGAGTAGATAGACGGCGGCTGCTCAAGGAAATCGCCGCCATCAGCCGAGTCCGACACCCCAACCTTGTTCCGATCCAAGGGTGGTGTCATGACAACCGCGAAGTCATCGTCGTCTATGACTTCTGCATTAACGGGAGTCTCAACAAATGGGTGTTCGGTGTCGGTGTTCTGCCATGGTCAAGGAGATTAAAGGTAATCAGAGACGTGCAGAAGCGCTGAGTTTCCTCCACTCGAAGCAACACTCTCACAAAAACGTGAAACCCACGAGCGTGTTTCTCGATATCAGATTCCGCGCAGCACTGGTGACTTGGGTTTCGTCTGTCAGGGTGGAGTCCCGGAGGTTTGAATCGGCGGTGAGTCAGACGACGGACGTGTTCGAATTCGGAATCTTTGTTCTGGAAGTAGTTTCAGGGAGGCGGAGGTTGGAGATGGAGGGTAAGGAGGTGAGCAAAGAAGAGAAAGATTTGGTGGATTTTGCGTGGAGAATGCACGAAAGAGATGAGAAAACGAAGGTGGTGGATCGAAGAATGGGTTCACTGGTGAACTTGGAGCAAGCGGTTCGGGTTTTGGAAATCGGGTTACTCTGCACTCTGAATGAGGGGAAAGGACGACCGTGTATGGCGGAAGTTGTGGAGTTTCTGAGCTTGGGAAAGAAACTTCCAGAACTTCCGGCGAGCCGTCCGATGGCTTTGTTTCCTTATAACAGCACCACTGGGCTTTGCACCGGCTATTCTTGTTCCCCTTTCAACTGATGAAAATCCGGTGTTGATAATTTATAAATTAAAAAAATAAATTAGTTTGGTTCTTTGGTTCAAAATTTTCATAATTTTGGTATTCAAACATATATTGTATGTATATGGCAATTAATCGCACAATTAACTATTTCAAACATAACGTTTCAGTTCAAAATACAGAAGGGGGAATTTGAAAAGTGTTTACAACAAGTCATGGTCATGGATACGCCAATTATGGATAATTCTAGGCATTCTCACAGGACTTAAGAAACAGCTTTTAGCTTCATCAAGAAGTCAGAACCGATGTAAGTTTGACTGAATTCAGTCGAAAACGACCGAAAACAGCCAATCCAATGCGGATCGCTGCCGTGAGCGGTGGCGCCGTCGCCAGAGCACGGCGAAGCTGCCGTGCTGGAATTTCAAAATTGGCTAGGTAGACCCTGAATCTAATTTTTTGAATTATTTGGAAGGTACAAAAAATATTTTTGAAGTTTTTCTTTTGTCCCTTTTTCCTCGGGACACAAGTATTGCTAAATGCAAGAAAAGAATGAAGGAAACAGACTCAAATGGGCTAGTGTCTCGAAAATGCTAGCTGTGATGTGAGGTCAATACCTTCTTCAATGTCATTGGCATTCTTGGCAGGCAGAACTGTTTGTATTACTCTGGCCTTAGGCTGAATTCCTACAAATTCAAAAGCTGTTGCCGGTGCTGCTGCTTCAGTTTCTGCATTTAGTTGAGGCAAGCTTGTGAACTGATCTTGTCTTGCTCCCCATAGAAAGGAGTACAATCCAACCACTATCAAAAACATGCCTACCAAGCTGAAACAATGTAAATGAATTAAGGATGGCGAAAATATATATGATAAAGTAGGTTTAATTTCTATTAAGATTTTTAAATAAACATAAACAAGCCTTACCTTCCTGCGGTTACCTCTTCCCAAGAATGAGATCTGCCGCCACTGTGACGAAAACATGAGCTAGTGGGTTGGACATTGGAGGGTCTGTAAGAGCCTCTCTTTGCTACTGCCCAAGTTATTAAGCAGTAGGTTGCAGCTGTAGCTAGTGCTCCCTGCAGAATGTCTGATTTCAGTACACAGATCATATCCATTCCATAGTTTATCAAACATGAAAATGTTTTATGTCAAAAGCACAAGTTTATTGTACCAAGAACAAAATTGATACACATGCATAGATATAAGGAGCAAAAAGAACTCATTGTATATATGTAGAATGAGCAACAAGAACTCAAATTGTGTGTATAACGAGTTTTGTGAAGCCAGAATCAATATATATACTCCTGTTAATTAGTATCTAACAAGTAAATATTTAGAGTTGGCAATTTTCGACAACGAAATAATATTAGATTTATAATTAGTAATTACAACTGCATATATGAACATATCCGGTAATGTTACAAAACACATTACAGTTCGCAATTTAAGGATTCTGATACAACAATATGGAAAATGGGATTTTTTCTTTAAACTTAGAACTAGAGAAAGAATTTCTACAACGGAATTGAACTGTCTACCACCCTCATCAGCACAAACAAAAGAGGTAAAAGACCATATTTTGACAAATGCATCAATCATGGAGAAACAAGTCTGATAAAACTTCAAAGAAAGTTGGAGTTATGGACCAAAAATCTGATTAAGAAACAATGTAACGGAACTTACACTCCCTGGCAAATAGATCTGCTACATTGATTTAACAATAAACCTACCGAGTAAATGATGGTAACCAGTTGAAGATCCCATCCTAATCTCCAAGAAGCCTTACGCCTGTCTACGCATAAACCTATGATGGTGGCTTGCAGGGAGGCTATTATGCACGTCAACATTGTTGCCCAATATTTTGATGGAAATACCTGGAGCGACTTAACCTATAGCATGAAAGAAAATAATTAGACTTTTTATCTAATGACAAAGAAGAAGATAAACAAGAAGCTAAAGATGGAACTACAAATATCTACAGCCTCAATTCCACAATATTTTAGCAGTGAATTAAAATTGCTGTGGGAATCACTTAAGGCCTGTTTAATTGATGTCATTCCATTCCTAGTTAGTTTTTACTCTTGATTTTTAAGCTAGTCGTAGCATATAGAACAAAAAATATAATCTAGAAATATGATGCTAATGTTTGCGTATTTATAGGCACCTGGACAAGGAACCAAGTAGCATAGGACAAGCAACTTCCAGTCAGGATGAAGGTGCCACGGAACCAGTAATCCTTAGATGTCTTCATGGCAGTAGAATAGCGAAGACTTTTATGACCAATATGAAATCCTTTTCCCTCATAAAGACTAGTAGTCAATGCCCCTGCGACGCACGGTGTTGCACCCAATATCTTGATTTTGCCCTCCCTGGTACGAACCCTCAATTTCTCCATTCTACAAAACCAAATTCCCAGTTACATGCATGTGAAAGTGACAAGGCATCGCCATTTATGTAATATATATCTGTCTGTGTGTTTATGCGGAGAGTAAATAAAGTCTATGATGTTAAATATAGTTGGAGACTGCAGGCTTTATGGGTTAGATTTCCACAAAATGCCAATGATACAACTAAAATTTGAGTTAGAACTTAAATAAGATATTGTTTTGCCATAATTTTATTTTTAAAACCATATATTTGACAATAAGATTTATTAAAATGCCATTAGCTTTACTCAGACGTCAATAAAAATATTTTCTATGTACAAACAAATATAAAAATCCACTAAACCATACCGAGCAATGATGGAAAATACAAAAGTGACGGCTGGGATTAAGTTGATGAAGTTGAGAGCATATGATGTTGTGGTATCACGGAGGCCATAATAGAACATTCCCATTCCCATTGTCACTCTGCGTGTCAATTACAAAAATATGCGCTGACGAACCCAAAAAGGAAATCGTAAACTAGCTAATCCTGTTTTTGTAAGACCTGGAAAATTTACTTCACCTGTTGTCAGCCTGGAATAGAGTCAGCATTTGTAAAGAGTTGTAACAGGCACAGGAGAGCCCTGTCAAGTGAAAGTGTCTTTGCAGACTTTACTTATTGTAGTTCAGTCCACCAAGCAAGCGGTGCACCTTGTTAACTCACTATTCGACTATCTTCACCCCCTGTAAGTTTTCTCTTATTTATGTATATATGTAAGTATATATGTAACTAATCAATGAGTTTCACCCCCTAGTCCTCGTTACTACATTAAAAGCTAATTTAACTAATTGCTGGATTTGATGAGAGTCGAGCACTGTAAGTGATGATCTCAATATAATTGAATATAAGTAGTGTTTAATTGTAATTACTTGCAAATACAGGGGTCATTTTGTAAATAAGGATAAGATAAATTTTCTTGTATAAATACCTGCTCGTGCACGGTAGTAAAACAATTTCCCTCATTTTATAATTTTCTGACTTTAGGTTTTCTTCTTCTCTCTCATTTTACTCTGTCACAGTTTCTTAAAGCTTCCTGCCTTCATCTTCAATAACATCAAATCTTCTTCAGATTCTATCAAAGTTTGATCGAATCTTCTTTCAATACAATAACAAATCTTGTTAGTTAAAGCATAAAATACAGTTTTCTGCTAATTGGAACCCACTATATCGCATCACTAGAAATAACTAATTAAATCACATTATCAATCAAAAAACTCATTAAGCCGCTAGCACGTTTGTATTGTCTGGTCGAAAGAGGAAGTAAGAACAAACGATGCATACATACCCTGTTTTAGCACCGATGAATAGCCATAGCCAACCGGACCGGCTGAGCTTCTTTGAGCCACCCCTGCAATCACATCATACACCGGATTAATTGATATTCAATTATTCAGAACAGAGGAGCGAAGGAATCCTAAAAGTCAAATAAAAAATTAAAAGAAACAAAACCTCTCCAAGAAGAAAGCCAACGGAGCAACACAGAGAGCGGCAACAACATGGCGATACGCCATTAATACGAAAATGAAGGTGCCTTGGCTCAAGATGAGTTTTGACAGCAACTGGAGCCCCGGCGCAAACACCTGCACCATCACCATTCCCCCTGCCTAACTGCGAACTGTCGCCGGGAAAGTACTTGTTCATCGCTCTCGAGTTCTTCTGGTACTTTTCACATAAACTTAGAGATCTCCAGAAGGGAAATTCTGAGCGGCATGTGGTGCCGGATTTGTTGCTATTATGATCTCCGAAAAACCGAAAGGAATGATCCAGAGAGATTGAGACGAGCAGTTAGTTGCAAGATGCATTTGGAAATGGAAGAGGCTGCCAACAGAGTTAGTTATAAATTCCATTTTTATGGTCTGCTGGTTTTCTCCATGCTTGCTTTCATGTGTCTCTGCGTATTTATATATATATATATGTGGTCCTGCCATGTGTGTTCTGAGACCATTTGCTCAATCGGCCTAGACTAAACATCATTGGGCAAGTCCTAAACGAAGATGGGCTTGGACCCACCACTATAATTGAAATGGGCCTTGGGCTTTACTCTTATGTGGGCTTTAAGAAATCCTTTAAGGCCCACCATATATCTCTCCTTTCTCCTCGCAATTGCTATTTTTTTTTTTTTTTAACAATAATATTTAGTTTTAGTACTAATTAAATGTTACTATTTTAAGAAATAATAGTTTATAACCTACCTCGTAAAATATTGATAATTTTGTCATATCAGATTTACAGTAACACAACTCAAAAAAGCTGGCTACCATAAAAAAAAGCTATTAATTAATCTCTTATTCACGCACGTGATTTAAACATTATAACATAATTTATAAATGCTGTCTATTAGATGAAGCCCCACCCAAATCAAAATTTAAAAAAAAAAATAAAAACACGCAACAAAGAAAGACAGTCACTGAAGTATCGAACCCGGGAATCTAGTGAATCTGCAAAATTTCCCCCATGCCTCCCTGGCTATCTATTAATTAATTAATTATGTTAATCATAAATTTAGTTAGTTAATGATATGTTAGAACTGTAATTAAATTTCTTTAATCAGACGGTATTTCCCTTTCCCGGAAGTTCATTGATTTCGTGAAATGAAATATGAATGTGCATGTATGTATGTATGTATTGTATCACGTTGTTGCACATGAACAGCTTAATAAAAACACACATGATTCCAGCATATATTGATATTTTTTTAATTTGTTGATAAGATTAAAAAAAATAATTTGCAGAGAGTCATAATTAATTAAATCAAGAAGATTATTTATAATTAATGGAAGATTTTAAAGTTAATTAATTTAAATTAGCTGGTCAAATCTTTATGAATGAAGTAAACAAAATTTTGACCAGTTTTGTACTATTAGGTACCTGGCACGACCGTCGGTAGCCCATCAGTTTATTAGCCCCGTCCAACCCGCTGCCATGGACAATAAATCTCGCTTTGCTTGACCCGCTCCATAACGAATGGATTAGGTCACTTCAACATCTCCATTTATAAGTAATTAATATTTAATTAACAGTTTTTTAATAAATAAAAAAATTAAATCTAAATTTTAATTAATATTTTTTTATACTTAAAAATATAATGTACTTTTAAATATTCAAAGTTACAATAATATATTAGTAAATTAAATATTTATTTATATTTAATTAAATATTATAAGTTAATTATAAAATTATAGTAATTTTATAAAATAATAAATTTTATGTGTTGTGAGTATAAATAATATACAAAATTTGAAATTTTGTTAGTATTAATCTAATTATTAAAATATTATTTTCTTATAATAATAAGCTCCGAAGGCTAACAATTATTGTATTTCTTTAACAAGGAACGCCAACAAATTGTATAAATACGCAGGGACACATGAAAGCAAGCATGGAGAAAACCAGCATAGCAGAGTTTCCTACTACCATAAAATGGAATCTATAACCAACTCTGTCAGCTCCCTCTTTCGTTTTTCAAATGCATCTTGCTACTCACTGCTCATCTCAATCTCTCTCGATTTTTCCTTTCGGTTTTTCGGATCCGATCATAATAGCAATACAAATCCAACACCAAACGCCGCTCAGAATTTTCCTTCTGGAGATCTCTAAGTTTATGTGAAAAGTCCCAACAGAGTGCGAGTGCGAGTGCGAGTGCGATGAACAAGTATTTTCGCGGCGGCGATTCGCAGGTGGCGGCCAGCATGGTGATGGTGCAGGTGTTAGCGACAGGCCTCCAATTGCTCTCTAAACTCGTCTTGAGCCAAGGCACCTTTATTTTCGCATTAATGGCGTATCGCCATGTTGTTGCCGCTCTCTGTGTTGCTCCATTGGCTTTCTTCTTAGAGAGGTTTTTGTTTCTTTTAATTTTTTATTTGATTTTTAGGATTTCTTCGCTCCTCTACTCTGAGTAATTGAATATCAATTAATCCGGCGTATGATGTAATTGCAGGGGTGGCTCAAAGAAGCTCAGCCGGTCCGGTTGGCTATGGCTATTCGTCAGTGCTTTAACTGGGTATGTATGCATCGCTTGTCTCTTACTTTTCCTTTCGGTTAGACAATACAAACGTGTTAGCGGTTTAACGAGTTTTTTTATTGATAGTGTGATTTAATGAGTTCTTTTCAGTGATGTGATATAGTGGGTTCCAATTAGCAGAAAACTGTATTTTATGCGTTAACTACTTATATTCAATTATATTGAGATTATCACTTAGATTGCTCGACTCTCGTCAAATCCAGCAATTAGTTAAAGTAGTTTTTAATGTGATAATGAGGGCTAGGACGAGAACATGCATGTTTGTCTATTTCTTAAATAGCAAATAAGATTTAGAAACTAATTATAGCTTTATAGTAATTTTGAAATAGTTTAGTTGTATATATTAATTATAAACATTAGAAATGATTATGCTGCATGTGAGAAGGATACTTTATTATTATTAAGAGAGTATACTGTTGAATAAAATGCAAAAGTCAATCAAAGATAGATTTTCTTCTTTTGAGGATAAATGGAGAACTGTACCACCATTATTAAGACTCAAGTTATTAATATGATCTTCTAGAACTAAAAAAATGCTTCTATGCATTGCTTTATTGGAAGGCCATACTCAAACGGGACCAATTGGATAATCAATAATGCAGAAAAAGGGTACTCAAGTAGTGATTGATATCATATCAGTTTTCACCTTTTTATTTGTTCCATCTTTTGTTGATGGTGGAGAGCATTTGCCATCATTTGCCGAAAGAAAAAAGAACACAAAACTAGGACGGTTGTCATGTTGTTGAAACTCATTGATTAATTACATAGATACTTACGTATATACATATATAGGAGAATATTTATAGGAATGGGGATAATCCGATAGTGATCTAACAATATTGCACCACTTGCTTGGTGGACTGAACTACAATAAGTAAAGTCTATAAAGACACTTTCACTTGACAGGGCTCTCCTGTGCCTGTTACAACTCTTTACAAATGCTGACTCTATTCCAGGCTGACAACAGGTGAAGTAAATTTTCCAGGTCTTACAAAAACAGGATTAGCTAGTTTACGATTTCCTTTTTTGGTTCTTCAGTGCATATTTTTGTAATTGACATGCAGAGTGACAATGGCAATGGGAATGTTCTATTATGGCCTCCGTGATACCACAACATCATATGCTCTCAACTTCATCAACTTAATCCCAGTCATCACTTTTGTCTTATCCATCATTGCTCGGTACAGTTTGGTGAATCTTTATATTTGTTTGTACATAAATTTTTTCATTGATGTCCAAGTTAAGCTAAGAGCATTTTGAGAAATCTTAATCTCAAATATATGGGTTTAAAAATAAAATTATGGCAAAACAATATCTTATTTAAGCTCTAAATCCAATATTAGTTGTATCATTGGCATTTTGTGGAAATCTAAGCCATAAAGCCTGCAGGTCTCGAACTATATTTAACATCACAGACTTTATTTACTCTCTGCACACACACATATATATATATATATATTACATAAATGGCGATGCCTTGTAACTTTCACATACATGTAACTAGGAATTTGGTTTTGTAGAATGGAGAAATTGAGGGTTGGTACCAGGGCGGGCAAAATCAAGATATTGGGTGCAACATTGTGCGTCGCAGGGGCATTGACTACTAGTCTTTACAAGGGAAAAGGATTTCATATTGGTCATCACAGTCTTCGCCATCCTACTGCCGTGAAGACATCTAAGGTTTACTGGTTCCGTGGCACCTTCATCCTGAATGGAAGTTGCTTGTCGTATGATGGTTGGTTCCTTGTCCAGGTGCTTATAAATACACAAACATTAGCATCATATTTCATGATTATACTTTTCGTTATTTATGATAAGACTAGCTTAAAAATCAAGTTTAGAAAGTAACTAGAAATGGGATGACATCAATTAAACAGGCCTTAAGTGATTCCCACAGCAATTTTAATTCACTGCTAAAATATTGTGGAATTGAGGCTGTAGATATTTGTAGTTCCATCTTTAGCTTCTTGTTTATCTTCTTCTTTGTCATTAGATAAAAAGTCTAATTATTTTCTTTCATGCTATAGGTTAAGTCGCTCCAGGTATTTCCATCAAAATATTGGGCAATAATGTTGACGTGCATCTTAGCTTCCCTGCAAGCCACCATCATAGGTTTATGCGTAGACAGGCGTAAGGCTTCTTGGAGATTAGGATGGGATCTTCAACTGGTTACCATCATTTACTCGGTAGGTTTATTGTTAAATCAATGTACCGGATCTATTTGCTGGGGAGTGCTTAAGTTCCATTACATTGTATCTTAATCAGATTTTTGGTGCATAACTCCAACCTTCTTTGAAGTTTTATCAGACTTGTTCTCCATGATTGATGCATTTGTCAAGATATGGTCTTTTTCCTCTTTTCTTTTTTTTTTTTTACCGGGGGCGGGTGGGGCGATAAGTGTGGTATGCAGTTTAATTCCATTGTAGAAATTTTCTTTCTCTAGTTCTAAGTTAGAAAAAAAATTTCCCATTTTCCATATTGTTGTATCAGAATCCCTGGATTGTGAACTGTGATCTGTTTGTAACATTGCCGGATAAGTTCATATACGCAGTTATAGTTTCAAGTTATAAATCTGATTACGTTAGTTTGTTGTCGAAAATTGCCAACTCCAAAAATTTACCAGTTAGATACTAATTAACAGGAGTATATATATTGATCCTGGTTTCACAAACTTGTTATACACACAATTTGAGTTCTTGCTGCTCATTCTATATGTATACAATGAGTTCTTGTTGCCCCTTGTATCTGTGCATGTGTATCTATTCTGTTTTTGGTACAATAGACTGGTGCGAATGACAAAATATTTTCATGTTTGATAAATTGTGGGATGGATATGATCTGTACTGAAATCAGATATTATGTAGGGAGCACTAGCTACAGCTGCAACCTACTGCTTAATAACTTGGGCAATAGCAAAGAAAGGCCCTACATACCCTCCAATGTTCAACCCACTAGCTCTTGTTTTTGTCACAGTGGCAGCAGATATCATTCTCGGCGAAGAGGTCAGCGCAGGAAGGTAAGGCTTGTTTATGTTTATATACAAATCTCAGTAGAAATTATACCTACTCTAAATATTTATTTTCACCAACTTTCCTTAATTCATGTATAATTTTTCAGCTTAGTAGGCATGTTTTTGATAATGGTTGGATTATACTCCTTTCTATGGGGAGCAAAACAAGATCAGTTCACAAGCTTGCCTCAACCAGATGCAGAAACTGAAGACGCAGTAGCACCAGCAACAGCTTCTGAATTTGTAGGAATTCAGCCTAAGGCCAGAGTCTTGCCGA